GGGAGCTCCCAGTCTGATGGAGGAGACATGGTCTTTAACCCTGGGAGTTCCGAGTCTGATGTGGGAGACATGGTTCATTGACTCCGAGAACTTCCAGTCTGATGGAGGAGACCTGTTTCTGGGAGCTCCCAGTCTGATGGAGGAGACATGGTCCCTGACTCTGGGAGTCCCTACTATGATGGGCAAGACATGGTCTTCAACATCTGGGAATTCCCAGACTGATGGAAGAGACATGGCTCCTGACCACTGGGAATTCCCAGTCTGAGGGAGGAGACAAAATTCCCATCACCTAGAAGCCTCTATCCTAATGGAGGAGATTTTTCCTATTTCACTTTGAGAGAAAAATGTCCCCCTCTGATGGTAGAAATTCTGTCCTCACTCTTACCCTAATGCAGAGGCCGAGACATGATGCCAACTGTCTAGGATCTCCCAGTCTAAAGAGGGAGTTACGATCCACCCTCGTACTATACATCCAGTCTGATAGGGGAGGTACACTCCCATCATTAACCCACTTTCCCAATAAAGTAGCGGAGGCAATAGGTCTACCCACCTGCAGGAAAAAGGGTGCCCTACGCTCAGACTGTGCCTCCTTTCTTGAGACCTTCAGTCTGGTGTACTTATATGAGAGAGGAGGCGTGGAATCCCCCTTTGGTAGCCTTCGGTTCGATGCAGGAGGCCTACCTACCCCTAGTCTAGGCTGTCGGTTTGACAGAAGAGGCCAAAAACTCCATTTGGAGATCCCCAAGTCAGAGGGAGGAGAGGGAGCCCCTTCTTTCAAGTCTGTTGGGGACGCCGATCCACCCTTCGTCTGTGCTTCCCTCCCCGCCCTGGAGGAGACAAAGCCCCGCTCGCTTTGGGAGCATCTGTCTGAAAAGATACACCCTCTGCCCCCCTCTGACACACTCACGGGCCACCTGCAGCTCCACTTCCAGGGTCTCGGTCTTGCCCTGCAACGTGACGGTCTTGAGGGTGTAGCGGCCGGCATCCGTGAGGTTCAGCTTCTGCACCAGCAGTGAGCAGTTGGCGAAGCCCACCTCCCGGCCTGTGTGCGCCGGGCCTGCGATCCAGTTGCCTGACGGCAGTTGGCTGAGCAGCCGGCCGGGCTCCGAGGCAGGCCCGCGGTACCAGGCGTAGACCAGCAGGTCCTTGGGGTAGCCCTGGACGGTCAGCGTCACATCCTGGCCCTCCATCGGCCTGGTGGGCACGGGCACAATCGTCATGGCGACCGCTGCCGCTGAAGAAAGAGTGGGGGGGGGCGGGGGGGCTGGGTCACCGGGCCTGCACCTGGCGTGGCGTCCCCCTCCCACCCCCGCGCCCCTGCCTCCCCCGCACCTGACTGGTGCCGCCCCGTGCGGGGCCCCCGGGGAAGGAGACAGAGGAAGGAGCTGACTTGTGTGGCCGTGGAGGTGGGTTTTGTGTCCCGACAATGCCTGCCAGGGAGCTCTGTCTTCCCTCAGGAGATTGGGGGACCCCAAGGGTGGGGGCCGTCTCTCCCACCTTAGACTAAGAATTTCCAGCCCTTGGGGGGATATCTATCCCGCTTAACTAGAAGACCCTAGAGAGTCCAACCATGTCTCCTCCATCAGATTGGAAATTCCCAAAATATAGGGGCCATGTCTCCCCTATCAGATTGGAAATTCTAGAATATGGGGGGGGGCATATCTCCCCTATCAGACTGGAAATTCTCAGAACATGGGGGCCCTGTCTCCCCCTCAGATAGTTGGGAGTTGTGTACCCCAGGTTGTATCTCTTGTCAAACCAAGAGACCTCAGGATGTGGGGGCCATAGTTTCTTATCAAATTGAAAGATTCCAGAGGGTGGGAGGCCATGTCTCTTCCATCAGATTCGAAATTCCAGATTATTGGGCTGGGTCTCTCCAATCAGGCTGGGGACCCCAGAAGCTGGATGGGGGTATGTCTACCCCATCAGACTGGAAATTCCTAGAAAGTAGGGGGAGGCTTTACTCCCCCATCAGATTGGGAGTAACCCAAAGGTGGGAACTATGTCTCCCCCATCAGACTAGGAATTCTCAAAAAAAAAAAAAAAAAAAAAAAAAAAAAAAAAAGACCATGTCTCCTTAAGACCACATCTCTCCCATCAGAATACAAAGTCTCCCCAAGGTGAACTGACTGTCTCCTCCATCTGACTGGAAGCTCATTGAGGGTGGGTGTCATGTCTCCTCCATCATTGCTTAAAGTCCATGGAGTGTGAGACATTGCCTCTTCTCTCTGACTGGCAGCTCCTCGAATAAGGAAGTCATGCTTCCCTATTCCAGGATCAGGTCTCCAAGAGCAGAGACCATGTCTCCTCCATTACATCAGAGTCTCCCCCAGATGGGGATCAGGATAGAGTCTCCCTTTCCTCTGTCTCTCCCTGGCACTTGCCACGGGGTTGCTGACAGTTCGGGAGGCCCTCGGGGGTGCTGTACCCACTCCCTGCACATACCTGCACACTTGGGCACCCCCCATCTTGGCCTGCACAGGCAGGGCTTGGGGCGGCACCTGGGGTCATCTGGTACATCTCCCTGTCTCTGGCCAAGACCAGCTACCCAGGCCCCAGGTGGGGTGGGGCAGGAGGTACACTTACCTTTGGGGATGCCATTTCTGCTTTGGGTGAAAGAGTATCCACCCTTTGGATGAGACCCAGCCTGTTAGTAGGAGGAGGGAGGAGGGAGGGAGGGAAGGACTGTTCCCACCATCCCTGGGGGCATGGTGGCCACTTGGGAAGGAACCAAGGCAGAATTAAGGAGGCCTCAGTGTTCAAAGCCACCATCCCCAGGGGATGAGAAAGTGTCCCCTGAGGATCCTGATAGCTCTGAAAACAACAGCTGTGTCTGCACTACCCCCAGCCCCCAGGTTGTTTAAGGACAGAGGCAAGACAATGCTTCCCTGGCTGTGTTTTTCCACTTGCCATCAACTGGCTGTGACTTTCCGTGTGTGTGTGTGTGTGTGCGCGCGCATGCATGGTCCTCTGGGCCAGATAACTGGGTAATCCAGTTGGTCGCACAGGAGTTCACCTGTCTGTGTGGAGAGAATGGGTCAGCCCCAAAGCATCTGTGACCGGCTGAATTTAGAACAGGGGCACTCACGGGAAGGGACGTCTGAACGTTTTCCTGCCCTGCCACTGCCCGATGTGGACAGGTACACACTGAGGACTCTGAAGGGAGAGTCTGATTCATTGTTTTCCAGGTGACAAGGCATGGACCGTCTCCAGATGAAGAGGGGGTCCACCCGATATGCCACTCTGTGACTTGGCCAAAGAATGGGCTGGGAAGCTCTTAACTCTCCAGTGATCTCCTGGGCACATGGTGCGCTAACTGTTGGTGGAGGGGCCAAACCTTCATAGCCCAACTGGGCCTCCGTGGGGAGGGGGTGGTGGTCAGGCTGGGGGCGACTCACCGGAGAGCTTGACCACCACCGAGGCGGATCCGGAAAGCAGGGTCTTGGGGTTCTTAGCAATACACGTGTACGTGCCCTCCTGGGCCGCCGTCATGCTAGTGATGTTGAGGTGGTCTTGCCCGTTCTTGAGGGCCCGCCCGTTGAAGGCCCACACATACTCGGGCTCTGGGCAGGACTGGGACACGCACCACAGGGTGAGGGACGTGTTGAAGTCCAGTTTGATGGTACAGCCCGTGCGGGTGGTGGAATCTTGGAGGATGGCCACGCGTTCTGGGCCATCTGTGGGGGGCAGGAGGGAGAGAGACGGGGCAGTAGAGCGACAGGGGAGTAGAGATGGGCACCCTGGCTTCCTCTCCACCATGCTGGGCCTCTGGGAGTGTGTGGGCCTAGCGGAGGGAGAAAGCTCTGGCTTTTTCGGATCCCACACACATCTCTAACTTGCTCTAGGATCTCGAGAATCACTTTCCCCTTTCAGGGGACCTGTTTTCTCATCTGTAGAAAGAGGATGTTGGGCCAGACAAAATTTCAAGATATTTTTGAAGTCTATGGCTCCATTAAAAGAAGAAGAAGAAGAAGAAGAAGAAGAAGAAGAAGAAGAAGAAGAAGAAGACTATCGGTCTATCAGTTTCTCATAAGCCATTCTAAGAGTCTAGAATTCTAGGGCTCCAAGAGTCAATGTTTCTAGTCAATGCTTCTAGGTTCTAGGATTCTAAGATTCTAGAAGTCTATGTTTCTAAAATTCTAGGATTGGGTGCCTCTAAGATTTTAGAATTAGATTCTAAGATTCTAAGAATCTCTGCTTCTAGAGTTTCTAGGATTCTCAGAGTCTAGAATTCAGTGCTTCTTAAATCCAGAATTCTCTGGTCGTAGGATTCTAGGCTCTAAGTGTTTCTACATCGGCGGCCCTTGCGTACCTCTGTGATTTATTTCCCCCGGATTCCACACTGCATATCTGCTGCCCCTGGGAATGACTCCATGCTTTGGTTGTGTTTTCTTCTCCTGTCTCCCCTCCCACCCGCCACTCACTTCCCACCTCCATTTCACAACCAACCAGCCCTGTGTCTCTTCCCTGCTTGTATTGCTTCAAACTGAAGGATCGGTCCGTTTCAAGGGTGGTTTTTAGTCCTTAGGACGTGGGTCAAGTGCATCCCTAAGAAAGGGATCCTTGGTGCCTCATCCCAGCTCACCTACTGACTCACGGTGTGCGCCCTTGGGCACCCTCTCCTGGCCTTGGTTTCCCCATCTATGAGGTTTGGGCGCAGGGTATCTCTAGCGGGGCCAGGAGGACTCACAGTACACGGTCAGGTTGACGGGCTCGCTGCGGCTGACACTGACCGGGTTCCAGACCTCACACTGGTAGGCTCCCGCCTCCTCTCTGCGGACGCCATGCCGGGTCAGTACCCGGCCATCGGGGGACTGGCCGAGGCGGATGGCGATGGGCAGGGCTTCGCCGTTGAAGAACCAGCGGACCTCAGCGGGGCTGGGGCTGCTGCACACCAGGCGCAGGGTGTCTCGGCGCTCGACCAGTGCCGTGGTGTTGGCCGTGACCACAGGCTGGGCCAGGATCTCTGTGGGGCAAGAGACAGAGGGGGAGGGGGCCGGGCACTGCCTGCTCCCCCGGCCACCCCCGCTCTAGGCAAGGGGCATGGCTGGATCCTGGGGGCGTCTCTGTAACCCCCAGCCAGAGGGGCAAAGAATGGGATAGGAGGCAGTCCTGGAAGCCATCCCGAAGGAGGCGAGCATTTTAATGTTATTTTGTCTTTTTTTTTTTTTTTTAACCGTTTTCCATTTTAATTTATTTTCATTTTAATTTTTATCAGAGGGGCCGGGACGCACGTGGGAAGGCTGGCCGTGGTACAGGGGAGGCCGAGGGGGGGGGCGGGGCGTCTCACCATAGACCTGCACGTGTCCGTAGCCCACGTCCGTCTGGAGCTGCCTGTTGAGGGTCTGCAGGATGTAGGTGCCCGAGTGCCCGGGCAGGGCGCCCCGGATGTCCAGGCCGCCGTCGGGGCGCACAGCCTCCCGTCCCGTGTGGGCCGGGCCAGGGGTCTCGTCGCCCGTGCTCACGATGTAGCTGGCCACCAGGTAACTCAGGCTGAGCGTGGGCCCCGCGTACCAGTTGTAGGCAAGCACTTCCCCCGAAAGCCCGTGGACGGTCAGTGTGACGTTGTCCCCCTCGGCTGGCTGGGCAGGCTCGGGGGTGATAGAGATTTCGGCCCCCGCGCTCAGGAAGGCGGCTGAGGAAGAGGAGCCGGAGGGGGCGGGTGAGGCCGCCGTGGCCACTGCCCCCACTCAGTGGAGGAGGAGCCGTGGCGATCTCCTGGCACGCGTGTTCCTGGTATACCACGAGCGCCTAATCAGTGTGAGCCAGGTGCAGGGTCTCAGTCCTGCGGTGGGACTGAGGATTGAATTCGATGGGCTCTGCCTGGGGTCTGGCCCAAAGCCTTGAGCACAAGCTCCTAGCACGCGCTCGGCCTGCTAGAACTTTGGATGTGCTGGGGGCCCAGAGGGTTTTCCTGCTGTGAGAGTCACCGAACCCGGGCTTGCACAATCAGGCTGGCTCGTCTAGGCCCTGGGCCCGGACTCTCAGTCCGGTGCTCTTCCTGGGCCTCGGGCAGGTCTGACCGCCGCAGAAAGTAGGGGCGGGACGAATTGACTCCACCCTTTTCCCTCCAACCCAGGAGATAAGCCCCAAACCCGACCAGCTGGTCAGGGCTGCTTGGGTTTGAATTGTATGTGTGGTTGCCCAGAAGGGGCGGCCGTGGCGTGGCGGGTTCTCGGGGAAGAAGTGCTTGCACGCCTGGCCCCGGTTTCTGGTACTTTCCAGGCTGACACATCTCGGTGAGGGGTGAGGTCTCTGGGTCTAGCACTCAGCCCTGCCACCACTGACAGGCTGAGCCCGGCCAGCGGCTTCCCCTCTCCGAGCCTCGGGTTTCTCGTCTAGGAAGAGGGGGGGTCCTGAGCGGACCTCCTTTCTAGGGTGGCTGTTAACACCCAGAAAACATTTAGAGTAAGTGCTGGTGAACGCCGCTTATTGTGACCTTCGGACGACCCTGGGAGCTTAGCCCATTTCACAGATGAGGAAACTGAGGCTGAGAAAGGGAAGGTGACTGCCCAAAGCCATGTCCGCAGGGAGAGGCAGAGCTGGGGGTCAGGGCTCACCCCGGCCACGCTTTTGTAGCTCAGTCAGGGTTTGCCACGCGAGCGAGGGTGGGTCAGTGACCCCCCTGCTTTAGCCTCACACCCCGATCTTAGAAAAATCTCTGAGGTCCACCCTGCAGCCTTCTCTGGGTGGCTGGCCCTGGCCGGGGCCTCTTGGAGGAGCAGACGGGGCCCTCCCTACCCAGCGCGCTGAACTTCTGGCTCGCACCTTGCCTCTCCCGGACCAGGGTCCCTGCCCTTCCCCGAGGCCCCCCTTCCCCGGGGCCTGCGGTTGTGGGGGGGGGGCACCGTTCTCGCTCACCGCTGAGGAAGAGCCAGCTGCACCCCGTCAGTGCCATCTCTCTCCCCCAACCCCGACTCGAAGACCGCGGCGTTGGCGTCCCGATGCTCCGAGGCCCTTCCCGGTTGGGACCTGGCTCCGTCTGGCGCGGGACCTGGGAGGGTTCGGTGATTTGGAGCCGGGGGAGATCACCTGAATTTGGAGGGATCGAGTCACCGAGGATCTGGGGCCCCGTTTGGGTACCAGAGCGGGTGTGGCAGGCACCGGCCAGGGGTCACGACCCGGCCGGGCCTCCTGGGGCGCTGCCTAACCTCCTTGTGCCGAGGGCCCGGGCCCGGGGTTTGGTACCAGGAGGAGAACCAGGTCGCCAGGGAGGAGGAGGGCGGGGGAAGATTTTAGGGCAGTTCTTACCCCGGGCCCTGGTGCACTTGGGGGTCACCAAAGAATAAAACCAATCAGCAGCGACTGCCTTTTTGCTGCCTCTGCGCCGTGGGTGACCTTCCGGTATCTTTTCAGGGGACTTGCTGTGAGGTGGGCACTGGTAGAACCCGCATTTGCAGATGGGGAAACTGAGGCGCCAGGCACGGGCTCTGACTTGCCCAAGTTCCTGCAGCGAGAGGGAGTTCGAACCCTGCCCTGTCTCCAAAGCCACCCCGAGGGAAGGAGGCTCGGCGGCTACGCGCTTTCTTTGGGGCCGTGCTGCCGACTGGCTTCCTGCACCGGGTGAGAAGTGCGCATTCTGTCTTTCCTTCTGAGGCCTTCTTTCCCGTGTCTGTCCGATGGGTCTGTGGAGCCTCTGGGGCCACAGAGGGCCCTGTTTTGACCCTGGCTCTGCACTTCCCCGAAGTGGGGCCGGAGGCAGTCCCTCACCGAGTCTCCATGAGCTGCTCTGCAAGACACGGATGGTGGGCTCCTGGGTGGCTCGGTCGGTTGAGAGTCCGACCTCGGCTCAGGTCACGATCTCGTGGTTGGAGAGTTCGAGCCCCGCGTCGGGCTCCGTGCTCTCAGCTCAGAGCCCGGAGCCTGCTTCGGATTCTGGGTCTCCCTCTCTCTGTGTCCCCACCCTGCTCATGCTCTGTCTGTCTCTCTCAAAAATAAGTAAACATTAGGAAGAAAAGAAACAGGGATGGTGTAGGCCCTCCTCAGTTTTGTTGGGCGCAATTAGCGTGACGCTCCCTGTCGGGACTTGGACCAGCACCTGGCGGAACTGGGCCCCCAACACGAGGTCTGGTTGGTGTCACCGTTATTCAAAGGGCAGGCGCTGGACCCTGAGCCTCCACGACCCTGAGC